TAATATATCTTTTAAATAAAATTATTAGAATGAGATTAATTCTCAAATACTCTCTATATAAATAATTGACATCAAATCGATAAAAATTCTACCGAAGAATTAAAGTATCATATTGATTAGTATTCTATACAACTGCGGAAGTGATTTTTAAATCTCTCAATCATATAATAATCTTGACCTTTTAATTAAAGTTCTCGTCTAGGCATATTCATTTTGTAATACTTATGATTTTTTGTTATCAACAACCTTCGAACAATAAATGAAGGACATATATTCATACGAAGATTAACAAGAGAAAAGATTTATATTTTAGTCACGTATTTTGTTTATATACAAATTTATGAACAATAATATGTTTTTTTTGTTTTATTATTGAGTTTCAAATGTAAATGTAACTTGTTGTTTATCATTTGCATTTAATTCAAACAATCCAGTAAGAGATGAACCATCAATTTGAATACTATCGTTTGTTACATTTTCTTTTAATGTTAAATTATCTTGTGAAGAAAATTTTAATCGATATTCAATATTAATTGAACGTTGTTTATTATTAATTAAATGTAAATCAATTGTATATGTTGATAAAATAATAGTATAATTATTAAAACTATTTCCTTGATAAATATTTCGACGAGAATTTAATTGTATATTTTCAATATATTGTAAATCAGGATCTTGTCCAAGATTAAATTCATTTGTTTCATTAGCCGCTATATCTGACCAAGAAGTTTCACCAACTAATCGATCAGATTCACGTATAAATACTTTACCTGCAGGTAAAAATGTTTCTTCAATACGAAGCCGATATGAACGCTGAGCGTTTCCAAAGTTATCGATAGATAAAAAATATTTTTCTATTGAACCATAACGTTCAATATCAATTATTGGACAAAACATTGGTAGAATATATTTTGATCGAGAATCAAGAATAAATGTTTCATTTATTCGAAATAAATATACACCAACTAATTCTTCAGCATCACCAATACTTGGAACAACATAATCATTAGAAACACTTACTGGACTTGCTCCATTTAGGTCACCATAACCATTACCGGAACCTGCATAAACAGGTTTTTCTCCATTATTATTCGATGAAGATTGAATATTTATATCTCCACTAATTAATTCAGCAAAATCAATCGTTAATGATGAATCTCTATTATTTTGAATAGTTGCATATGCTTGTAAAATTGAATTACTATCATTACTTTCTAATAATAGATCATAATGAACCTTCCATTTAATATTATTTTGTAAATACCGTACATAAAGTTGTTCATTAGAATATGTTTCAAGAACAAAATCAACTGAATAATTCTGTATAGGTGGAATAGATAAATATCGAATACGATCATTTGTAATAGTATAATATGTATTATCAATTAAATCTTGTATTAAATTTCGTGTTTCATCAATCATAATTCCTTCTGTATATGTATCATTATTTATATTACGTTGAATTAATACTTTTTTACCATTTAATGATGTTTTATTAAATGAAATAATTTGTGCATGTGGATTAATACAATTACCAATAAGTCGAAAAGAATCTGATCGAATAGTAGACCATTCTTGTGGTGAAAATGTCATTGGTAAATCTTCATATGCTGATATTGGTTGAGTTATTTCAGCAATATTATCATATATTTTAATATGAATACCATTGTGAGGATTATTTATTGATTTACTAATAATAACTTTAATAATAATAATTGATAGAAAGAAAGAAATTATATTCATGTTGTTTTTTTTTGTTATCTTTTGATATAGTTTTGATAATTTTCTAGTGTTATTATATGAAAAGAACAAGACATTTTTTTCATGATTCTATGCATGTTTTTTTTAGGCTTTGTTGAATAAACAAAAACGTATATAAGAAATATCACGCACAAATATAAAATCAAGGATTTATTAGATTTGATGAACAATTTGTAAAATTTAGGATGTTTACTGTTACAATGATCTTTATTATTCTTATAGATAAGCACGAAATTTCATATGTACTACTAGTGAAGAGATTGAATCAATAATATTAAAATAACGATCGAAAAGGTTGATTAACTAATTATTCGTGTTTAGTTTTAGGATAGAGCATAAAATCTGCAAATACTGGTCGATGATCACTAAGTTTTATATCATTTAATGCTGCATATTGAATAATTTTAAGGTCTTTTGAACGATCAGAAATAAGAATACGATCTGTATAACTCGGACGACGATCTCTACACACAAAAAAATATTTTTCAATAAAATTAATATAAGTTTTTTGTTTATTACTCATGATTTTTTTCTGTTTGATACTCATCACTATTCACTTCATATTTATATGTAGGTGGAAATTTAATAGAAGCTTCAAAAAAATCTTCTAAACATTGTGTAGTTTTATTTTTACGCATTTGAGTTAACTAAAAATATGATAATAAATTATTTAATTATCACCAATAAAGAAATAAATTTTTACTTCATCATTATCAAGTATAATTTTATATTCGTGTTTTTTGATTGCTTCGAGAATATTATTAATACTTAAATTCTTTAATGTGCGCCAATTTTGATCACCAAATATAAACATATAATCATCTTTAATACCATCTATTTGATGATAGGTACGAAGAAATTTTGATAATAATTTACACCGTTCTTCTATTTTTCCTTCTCCAGCAGGTAAATGCATATTAGCAAAAATTATATTTGTTAATTTATCTATTTGAATACGACTAGCTATTATACCTTTATAGCCTATATATTTTTCTAAAATTTTATCCTAAATTTTTTTACCATAAATAAAGAAATATTTAAAAAAAAATCATACCTGATATATTTTCAATGTTCGTTCAGTATTCAATGTTAAAATATTAACACGTTGAGATTGCATTGTTTTATTTAGAATATATATATAAAGCCATATTGGTCTGTTTATATTCGATCCAACATAATCAGAAAGAAGTTCTATATAATTTTTATTTTTAAGACATTTTGTTAAGGTTTTACGAAATGAATTCGATCCAATCAATTTTTTACTTGCTTCTTGAAAACTATAGAAAATGATTTTTTTTAGTATATTAGAATTTAAAGAAGAAATACTATTTATATACCCAAATACGATAAGATCAGCGTTGGTACTACTAGATGCTGATGAAAATGCAAGATGTTCAAATATATTACAGTCAGGTTCACTATTTCCAACATTCCAAGTAATAATACGAAATCTATTAAGAAAACATATACAATTGTCTATTTCAATAATGATAACTAACCGAAAAGGAGTAAACTGTGAATAGATGAGTTGAAAATTAAATAAAATAAGAATACTAATAGTAGTAACTGAAAGGATTTGTTGCATTGAATATAAAATGAGAATAATTTATTGTATGAAAATAATCTTCTAAAGGCGCTTTTTCAAAAAGATATACTATTAATAACTATCTTTAGTTGTTCATCAAGCAATATAATAATAAAATAGATATTATGTAGTACAATTTGTTTCTATTTTAAAAAAATATATTATCATGACTTTGTTTTTTTGTTATCTATTTATTTATTTATTTATTATGGTTATGAGAAATCTCTTTTTTTACGCAATCAGATAGTATACAAATGATAAAAAACGCGTCATAATCTTGCAACATCTTTCAACAATGTAATGCAATAACTGATAAGCTAAAATAGTATGTACTAACAAGTATAAAAAGCGTGTAAATTTAATTGTAGAATCTAAGTTTATAATAGAATAGTTTTCATTTAATGGCTTTTTCAATATTTCATTTGATTCTTCTCTCAATATGTTGTTTATCAATTCAAACAGTTTTAAGTGCAACATCTTGTGATCGTGGTTATTATTTAGAAGGTGCAAATTGCTATCCTTGTACACCGGGTAATTATTGTCCTGATGGTTATCGACAATTACCATGTAATCCAGGTGAATATCAAGATTCATTCACATCTTCATCGTGTTCAGCATGTGCAAGTGGATATTATACAACAGTATCAGGTTCAGTTATATGTAATATATGCCCAATAGGGTTCATGTGCCCAAATGCTAATCAAGACCCTGTTGGTTGTGCACGAGGAACTTATCAAGATAGTTATGGTTCCGCGAGATGTCAACAATGTTCACAAGGTAATATAATAAAAAAACTAAAAAAATACTGATTTATTATTTTATGTTTGATTAATCTTATCAATGAATTTTAATAGGTTATTATTCGACAACAGTAAATGCACATCAATGTATAATTTGTTCAAAAGTAATATCTTCAAAAATTTTTAAAAACAAAAGTATAAAGAGACTATTTATTTATTTTTTGTGTTGCATAGGGTAATGAATGTACACGTCCAGATCAAGCTCCATTAGCCTGTCGACCAGGTGAGTTATAATTCAGTTTTCTTCTATTGAATACGTGTATTTATTAAACCTGAATCTATTCGATTTTCGATTTATTGAACTGAAAAGATTGACTAGAATAATATTATCGTCTATTAAGGTACATACTCATATGATGATGGTTCTTATTCATGTTTGACTTGTCCTACTGGATGGTATACTACTCAGAATGGTGCATTATTATGTAGCATCTGTCCCGAAGTATATATATAAATTATTGATTTAGAATTCAAGATAATAAATATATCATGATGTTTTTAATTAAAAATAGGGAAGTGAATGTACAAGAGCTGATCAACCACCAACTCTTTGTCGACCAGGTACATATTCTTCATCTCCAGGATCAACGTGTACATCTTGTCCATCAAATACTTATGCTACTGAATATGGACAAGTATCTTGTAAGCCATGTCCCCCAGGATATGAATGCACACAAAGTGATCAACAGCCACGTGCATGTGCTCGGGGATTTTATCGTGATGGATCCATGACTTCTTGTCAACGATGTCCAACAGGTATGTGGACTAAAAATACAACATCAGTTCGGTGTGAAACCTGTTCCGTTGGTTATGAATGTCCTACCACGGATTCTTCACCAGTGCCCTGTCGTATCGGTACCTATGCATCAAATATCAATACTGCCTCATGTTTAACATGTAGTACAGGATTTTTTACGGTTGAAACACGATCTATTCAATGTCAAAGATGTCCCCGAGGTTATTATTGCCCACAACCAACTAGCAATCCATTGGCTTGCCCTCCAGGAACATATAGCGACTATAAACAAACAGTATGTACAAAATGTGATTCAGGATACTATGCTCCAAACTCAACATCTATTGAGTGTCTTATATGTCCACGTGGATTTGCATGTGCAATTCCAAGTGTACTACCTCAAGTTTGTCCAGTAGGTACTAGTGCAAATTATGGAGCAGTTTCTTGTTCGGCTTGCTCTCAAGGATACTACTCGGTTAAAAACAGCTCGGCAGCTTGTACTCCATGTGCACCTGGATACTTTTGTGATACATCAAAAGAATGTCCCAAACAATGTCCTATAGGCAGTTATTCATCAGCAGCTCGTTCAGCATGTTATCAATGTACATCTACCTGTTCAACAGTAGCTGGTGTTTTTGATTGTTCAACATGTATTACAGCAAAACCAACAGGATGTCAGCAATTTTGAACTTAAATTAATATGTATAAATACTAATTATTTTAAAACTTAATTTCAATGATTTTGTTTGTATCGTTTTAAATAGACACAATTTTGATAGTTACAATACATTTTTTATACCATCTTAATTGATATAATATTTTTTTTATAATTAATAAATGAAAAGCAAAAGGGTTTATCTAAGTATTACTCAGATATTAAATGGAAATTAATCATCATAAAATTCTGCTACGAATCTCTCTATCTACAAAAATTTCCAACGACGCAAAATGTGGGAGTCAATCCTTGTCATATAACATATGAATATGATGAGAAAGTATATCAGATGACTGATCAAGATACGAACCATCATCAATATATATATATATATAGACGTATTTTGTAAAAATAAAAATGAGTCAGATTATTCATTTATAAAATAACTATGTGTGAGATTATATTTATTCCAAGTCTTCTCTTGATTATATATGTACGTTCAATTTCTACTATTCAATGTCCATCATGTGATGATATTGTTTTCGATACAACAAATATACCACTTTCTGTTAATCAATCCTATTGTGGACAAGTAGTTGAATCAGCTTCACT